CAACTTCCGCTCCGACTTCCGAAGAGCAGCAGTTGGTTCAGTTACCATTTGATTGTAATAAAAGGCTCAGGCCCAAGCTTGATGGTGCAGAATTGGTGGAGGAAGATTCACCTTGATTGGATCCACATTTTTTGATTAGAAGATGGCTGCCTGAGCGAAGTCCTAACTATATACCTGGAGGTTTTTCAGGAAGGTCTAGGAACTGTCAAAGGAGACAAGGTCACCACACAAGTTGACCAGGAAGTAATTCCACGATTCTGCAAGGCCCATGCAGTGCTATTTGCCTTAAGTGCAAAAGTAGAGGCAGAAATCAGGAGGCTGGAAAGTGAAGGAATCATTAAACCAGTACAGTTTGCAGAATGGGCAGCACCGGTCGTAACGATTGTGAAGCCTGATGAGTCCGTGCGCCATTCTGCGGATTTTAAAACAACAGCAAACCACTTCTCGCTGCTGGATAAATACCCAATCCCTCGCATAGAGGGCTTGTATGCAAACTGGTTGGGGGGAGGGGTGCTGTCTTTCATGAAGCTGGTCATAAGCCATGCATCCATGCAATTGTGATTCGATGAGGAGTCCCAGAAGTATGCCACGATTAATACCCATCAGGATTTGTACCAAAATACAAGAATTCCATTTGGGGTATCATCAGCCTGTGCCCTTTCCCAGTGGACCATGAAGAACATAAGGGCCACCCCAGGTTGCCATCTATCTGGATGACGCACTAATAACAGGGAAGAGCAATAAACAGCACTTGGAGAACTTGGACATAGTGTTTAAACGTTTCTCCCTGATGGATGTATGCATTAGAAGCGAAAAATGTGTCTTCCAGGCACCCCAAATGAGGTACTTGGGTTACAGATTCGTTAAGACTGGGTTACACTGTTGGAAGACAAAGTGAGGGCGATCAAAAGTGCCCTGGCTCTCACGTCTGTACCGGAGCTAAGTCTATCCTTGGATTGGTGAATTATTACGGAAAATTCTTATGTAACCTGGCCCCCATCTTGACATGCTTACAGCTGCTACTGAAAAGGGGTCAGCCTTGCAAATGGTCATATAGCCAAGATGTAGCCTTTAGGGAAGTGAAAAAGTGTGCCCAACAAGAACAAAATTACCACTGGCAGCTCCCCCACATTCGTGGGAATGGTGGAGGGGTAAACCCTGAACTCGGTTACCCATTGACAATACAGGTCCTTTCATGGGATCTATGGTTTTGGTTGTTATGAATGCCCATTCAAAGTGTTTGGATGTGCATAGAGTTCATTCGGCAAACTCTGGGTTAATGACTGAAAAGCTGCAAGCATAGTTTGCAGTACACAGACTCCCGGGAGAATTGGTCACAGCCAATGGGGCGCCATTTACTAGCAGGGAATTTGAGTATTTCTTAAAGTCAAGTGGCATTTGTCATGTTCAGACAGCTCCATTGTTCAATGATCTGCCAGAAAGAGCAGTCTAAATATTGAAGGCAGGCTTCACTCAATACCAAACTGTCCCAGTTCCTGTTTGATTATAGGGCCACCCCTCACATGACTACAGGTAGCGCTCCAACAGAGTTGCTGATGGGGAGAATATTCCACACCAGATTATACCAGATATTCCCAGACATTGGGGTGGGAGGGGAGAGTGAATTGGCAGCAGGAACGCCAATGCCAGCCACATGCCTCCTCTAAACGAGACAGCAGTTTACATCAGGGGAAGAGGTTTAGTGTCAGAATCACGGAAATAGGCCTGCATGAGTACAAGGCGAGATCGATGCGAGGTCACATCCTGTGAAGTACAAATTTCGGATAGGTGAGGCGGTCCTGAACAAAGCCGCTAACTCACAAATGGGGCAGGAGCGAAACATACCTGGCCCCTCAGAACAGCCAGAAAGGCCTATCAGAAACCATGGGTTCTCCCCCTCCATCTAGTGTCGAGGAAACCTCAGAGTCCGAGTTGGACGCAGCCGATGTTGCAGCCTCCATACCGTTACTGCCTGAAGAAGAGAAGGAATTTTTTCCGAGGTGCTCCAGATGCAGAAGGCGGGTTACGGTCCAGTACGTGCCACCCGTGTCCAACTCAGAGTCGGAGGATCTGGACCTCGTGGGAATAGATCCCAGGAGAAGCTACAAGAGAAAGAACATGCCTACATCCCTGGACTTAGTACTGCAGAGATGTAGTGATTGGAATGCAGTTGGCCAGGTGGATCTCTTTGAGTATGAGTTCCCTGATTGGGGCTGTTAACCTGGGCCAATCAGGGAGCCCTAGCTGACAGATATAAACAGGAGTGTCAGGGATTATTGTACAAAGTAGGAGCTCATGATGTAGGGGATAACATATTAGTAATTAACATGGAAAAACTGTGGAATTCCAAAGTACAGAATGATCTGGTCTTCTAATGTATGAGTCACAAAAGTTAATATGCAGGTCCAGCAATTACAAAAGCTATTAGGATGCAATCCTTTATTATGATAGGAATCAGGGGGCAAACTCTACACTGGTTAGAGTCACACCTGACACAAAGGAAGATGGCTGTGGTTGTTGGAGGTCAGTCATCTCAGCTCCCGAACATATTTGTAGGAGTTCCTCTGGGTAGTGTTTTAGGCCCAACCATCTTCAGCTCTTTCATCAATGATCTTCTCTCCACCGTAAGGTCAGAAGTGGGGTTGTTCACCAATGATTGCACAATATTCAGTACCATTCACAACTCCTCAGATACTGAAGCAGTCCATGTTCAAATGCCACAAGATCTGGACAATATCCAGGTTTGGGCTGACAAGCAGCATGTAACATCCACACCACACAAATGCCAGGCAATAACCACGTCCATTAAGAAACAATCTTGGCATTCAATGGTGTTACCATCACTGAATCCCCAACTATCAACATCCTGGGGATTAACATCCTGGAATTCTCTCTATACCTACAGCACAGGGACTGCAATGGTTCAACAGCAGTTCACCACCACCTTCTCAAGAGGGCAACTAGGGATGATCAGCCAGTGACACCCATGTCTCACAAGCCTATAAATAAAAAATGGTATCTGTGTCCTCATGTCGCTAAAGGTTAACAGGAGTATGTAGAATTATATAGTCATAGAGTCATGGAACTGTACAGCATTGAAACAGACCCTTCAGTCCAACTCGTCCATGCATCCAGATATTGTAAATTAATCCAGTCCCATTTGCCAGTATTTGGCCCATATCCCTCTAAACCCTTACTATTCATGTATCCATCCAGATGTCATTGAAATGTTGTATTTGTACTAATCTCCACCACTTCCTCTGGCAGTTCATTCCATACATGCACCACCCTCTGTGTGAAAACGTTGCCCCTTAGGTCCCTTTCAAATCATCCCCCCTCTCACCTTAACTCTTTGCCCTCTAGTTTAGGAGACCGCCAACCCAAGCTATTCACCCTATACATGCCCCTCATGATTTTATAATCCCCTAGAAGGTCACCCCTCAGCCTCCAATGCTCCAGGAAAAATAGCCCCAGCCTATTCAGTCTCTCAGTTTCCCTAAACAAGATTGAAGAGTGGGCAGATAGACCTGCATAAATCAGAAGTTATAAATCAGGATGAAGCTTCGGTACTGGAGAGATAGTAGGAACTGCAGATGCTGGAGAATCTGAGATAACAAGGTGCAGAGCTGGATGAACACAGCAGGCCAAGCAGCATCAGAGGAGCAGGAA